CCTATCCACTACCTGCATAAGAATCAGGAATATTGACGTGTTTTTTGAATAGTGTTTAATTTTCTCAACTTCCTTCTTTGGCGTTGCAACATTACTCAGCAAGCAATTTTATAGGGACCGTTCACTAATTTGGGTGATTAAACTTGTTTTTTGAATATATTCCCATGACTATTGAAGGATAATTATGAGGTTACATCGCTTGATTTAAGTGGAAAAGGATTACAAGAAATAGGTATAAAACCATTGTGTTTCAAAAATATAGACATGTTTATCTATTTATTTACACAATTCAAAACTAAGTATTTTTTAAATTAAAGTTTTACTTAAATGCAGGAAAATGTTTCTGAGTATTCACTCGATTGTTTACACTTGCAGGCGTTCGTTCAAGTTCTAAATAGAATTAAGTTTTATTATTTAATTCAGTTTTATTATTTAAAAAAATAAAAATAACATCAAGAGTAAAAGTTTAATGTTTCTAGATAAACAAATTCTCTAAGCTGGAATATTCTACTGTTTCTAGATAAACAATTTCTCCATGAATTCCCTTATCTAGAATATTTCAATGTTTCTAGATAAACAATTTTCACTATGAGTTCCCTAAGCTGGAATATTCTACTGTTTCTAGAAAAACAGTTTCTCCATGAGTTCCCTAATATAGAATATTTCAATGTTTCTCGATAAACAATGTTCACTATGAGTTCCCTAATCTAGAATATTTCAATGCTTCTCGATAAATAGTTTTTCCATGAATTCCCTAAGCTGGAATATTTTACTGTTTCTAGATAAACAGTTTCCCCGTGAGTTCTCTATTCTTGAATAATTACTGTTTCTAGATAAACAATTTCTCTTTGGGCTCCCTAAGCGGGAATATTTTACTGTTTCTAGATAAGCAATTTCTCCATGAGTTCCCTAATCTGGAATATTTTACTGTTTCTAGATAAACTGTTCCTCAATGAGTTCCCAAATCTGGAATGGTTAGATCTTAGAAATAATCATCTTATTGCCTTTCCATCAGGAGTACAACTCAGGTATACACACCCTTTTGAAGAATACTACCCCTTTTTTTGAAATATACTTAATGGAGGTATACTTCCCCTTTATTGAAGTATACTTCTCCTTTATCTGAATATACTTCTCCTTTATTGGGATATATTTTCCCTTCATGTAGGTATACTTTTCCTTTATTGATCAATGCTTTTTCTGTTTTAAACAATACCACCCCTTCATTAAGTTATATTTACCCTTTTTTGATATTTACTTCCCCTTTATTGAGCTATACTTCCCCTTAATTGAGTTATACTTCCCCTTTATTGAGAGATAATTCTTACGGAGAAATACTTCTTACAAAGATATACTTCCCTTCATTGAGGTATGGTTTCCGTTTTTTGACCTCAAGAACTATTATTGTTGTAGCTGCAACAATTAATTGCACAAAAAAAATTGTGGAATTCTCTGCAATGTTTTAATATATCATAATTAATAACTTCTCTTCCGTATTTTTTCCCCGGAAATTTTCGCATTCGTTTTTTCGCGAAATTTTTGCATTCCATTTCTGCGAAAATTGTGCAAAAAAAGCGAAAATTTTCACATGTTTATCGAGCGTAACCCTTTCTTCCCATATACACAGAGTTACTACCCTTTTATTGAAAGTGAGTTAAACAAGAGATATCCAAGAAAAATAGTTTAATCGCATTCTATATACACTTTTTTCCAGTAAATTCCTCTCTATATATTCTATTCTTTATGGCAGCACCGTATCAAATTATTATGAAAATATCCATTAACTTTACTCTATATTCCATTTTACCCATCTGTGGAAATACGATTTCTACAGTGTGGAATTTTTCTACAACTGGACATTGAACTTCCATTTGTTTGTAACAACAACGGAATTTGATTGACCCAAATGGGAATATAGGTTTATTAATCTAAATATCCTGCAGTACACTATTTATATACATATAGACAATGAAAATGTAGGAACCTTGAAAAAGTTGCAGAATTTGTCAAGTTTTGGATAAACTTTAAAGTGCTGCAATGGGTTGGCATTTAAATTTACATCACTATAACTAAAATCACCTTTTTTTGCTATAACATTATTCATGTGGCATTTCAGAACTGTAAAGCATGTACATTTCAGAACTGTAAAACCTGTACGTTTCAGAACTGTAAAGCATGTACATTTCAGAACTGTAAAGCATGTGCATTTCAGAACTGTAAAGCATTCAGATTTCAGAACTGTAAAGCATGTACATTTCAGAACATGTAAAGCATGTACATTTCAGAACTGTAAAGCATGTGCATTTTAGAACTGTAAAGCATTCAGATTTCAGAACTGTAAAGCATGTACAAATCAGAACTGTAAAGCATGTAAATTTCAGAACTGTAAAACAAGTACATTTCAGAACTGTAAAGCATGTACATTTCAGAAATGTAAAGCATGTACATTTCAGAACTGTAAAGCATATACATTTCAGAACTGTAAAGCATGTACATTTCAGAACTGTAAAGCATGTACAATTCAGAACTGTAAAGCTTGTACATTTCAGAACTGTAAAGCTTTTACATTTCAGAATTTTAAAGCATGTACATTTCAGAACTGTAAAGTAAGTACATTTCAGAACTGTAAAGCAAGTACATTTCAGAACTGTAAAGCATGTACATTTCAGAACTGTAAAGCATGTACATTTCAGAACTGTAAAGCATTCAGATTTCAGAAGTAAAGCATGTATATTTTAGAACTGTAAAGCATTTACATATCAGAACTGTAAAGCATGTAGATTGCAGAACTGTAAAGCATGCACATTTCAGAACTGTAAAGCATGTACATTTCAGAACTGAAAAGCCTAGCTGTACATTTCAGAACTGTAAAGCATGTACATTTCAGAACTGTAAAGCCTAGCTGTACATTTCAGAACTGTAAAGCATGTACATTTCAGAACTGTAAAGCCTGTACATTTCAGAACTATAAAGCATGTACATTTCAGAATTTTAAAGCCTCTATATTTCAGAACTGTAAAGCATGTACATTTCAGAACTGTAAAGCCTGTACATTTTAGAACTGTAAAGCTTTTACATTTCAGAATTTTAAAGCATGTACATTGCAGAAATGTAAAGCTTTTATTTTTTAAAAAACGAAGATAGCTTGAAGTAGAGTTTTATATAAGAAAGTTGAGAACTATTCTGTTGTCTGGAAACCAACTGAAGGATCTTCCATCAGATTTGTGGAGATATGAACGCCTGGCTGCGCTTCAGCTGACCGGGAACCCGCTGGTTCAAGACCTAAACCAAGCGTATACTCAGGGAGCAAACATAAATTGATTGCAACCAATTTTATAAACATAAATCTTTTAATATTATTCTGGCCATTTTCTAGCTCGTCTGTGACTTTACAATTTCCAATGATCAATACTTGTAAAAAAAAAAAAAAAATTTTTAAATAATCTGAACAGCTACATGTTTTAACGTATTAATTATGTAAATCCATGCTATATGAAAATAAGCAACATTTTTCTATGATTGCTTATCATGTTAGGGGTTGCAGCATTTAAAAGCATATCTCAGGAACTTATAGCAAAACAATTTAACTTAATAAGATTATGGCATGTACAGTGTACACTGTACAGTGAGGGATACATCAATACATCAAAATGTTCCCGTGAAATACAGGAGGTTTTTTTAAACTTGTGTTTTAAGTTTGAATAAAAGATCTTTACAAATTTTTCAACATAGTGGGATGAGAGGTTTCTCAAAAATGAGAAGTATTTATCAATTATCATAAATAGTGCCTAATTATGACTAATAAAGTTGTATATAAAACTTTAGACATTTCTGACGCACAAAGGAAGATATTTGGAGAAATATTTCTGGAGTAAACTTTGTTTGTTTGTTGTAATCTTTGATTTAAACAATACATTTTTTTTGAAAATTTTTAATATTTTAATAAATTATATAAATTTTCTAGATTTAATTTGAACTATAAAAAAAGTAACGCCTTAATCAAAGATTATAAAAGATGAAATTAATTTAAATTTAAATTTATTTCTTTAAATATTTTCCTATTCATGGAAAAAATGTTTAAAGTCTTATATACAACTTTATTTGTCATACTTAGGCACTATTTATGATAATTGATAACTACTGAGACACTTGGTACAGATCTTGCCTAAGGCACTTGGTACAGATCTTGCCTAAGGCACTTGGTACAGATCTTGCCTAAGGCACTTGGTACAGATCTTGCCTAAGGCACTTGGTACAGATCGATCAAGAGCTAGTTTGATAGCCACTGCTTGTGTCCCTGTGTGACATTTAGAGCTCGATTAATAGCTTTTCTGATAGCTACGCTTATGTCCCAGTGTGACATTCAGAGCTTGATTAATAGCTTGTTTGATAGCTACGCTTGTGTCCTTGTGTGACATTTAGAGCTCGATTACTAGCTTGTTTGATAGCTACGCTTATGTCTCTGTGTGAAATTTAGAGCTCGATTACTAGCTTGTTTGATAGCTAAGATTGTGTCCCTGTTTGACATTTAGAGCTCGATTACTAGCTTGTTTGATATCTAAGATTGTGTCCCTGTGTGACATTTAGAGCTCGATTACTAGCTTGCTTGATAGCTACGCTTGTGTCCTTGTGTGACATTTAGAGCTCGATTAATAGCTATTATTCATATTGACATTGAGAGTCAACGAGATCGCGCCTAGTGGTAGTGGCGTTGATAGTTCACGAAATTGTAGCCGTGTGCATCCTGTCCTGTTTGACTTTGATAGCAGACGGGTTTTACCTGGATTGATACGTTCGAGGACTTGGAGTAGGCGTTTACTACAATATTACTGCATATGTAAAATAAGGTTCTTATTACCTGCTGCGTAGGTTAAAAACGATCATAAATACACGTTAATAAAGTAGATATGGTATTTATATCAACAGCAATATTTTTGAAAAATTTGGAATTGTAAATTTGCGATGTATAGAGATAAAGAGGAAAAAGAGAAAGAGGAAAAAGAAAAAATAGAAAAAGAGAAAGCTCTCCAACTTTCTTCAGTTCTATCTATAGACAGTGGCTTTGAAGAAATTAGTTACGATAATGAAAACGAAAAAGAGAAAGAAAGAGAAATAACTTGCAACACAGCAATAGACAACGGAAAAAAAGTTACAAGAGCAAATAAAAAATCGTTCAGTTATTCCGAATTTTCGTTCGACACAGTTGTGCACAAATACCAGGCTGGTAGATTCCATAGCTCACTACTTAACCAGGAATTTCATGGATTCACGCTCCAGACAATCTTAGAAAAAACTGCGGAAATGTCGACTTTAAAAACCAAACAATTGGAAAATATAGACCTAGAAAAAAAGTTACAAAAAGTGAAAACTCGGAAGAATATTGAAAAATGGCGGATGCATTCTAGGAAACTGCAAAAAGAATTAGAACAAAGAAAGATGAATGGAGAAGAGATTAATCTCATGAAGAATCCGCCATTAGGGATAGATCCAGACTGGAATATAGAAACAGGTCCAAAATTAACCCCCCCCCCCCCTCTCTCTCTCTCTCCTCAAAAGAGAGTGCAGAGTGCAGAAATTATGGATTAATTGATCAATGATCAATGATCAATGATCAATGATCAATTATAAATGATTAATGATCAATGTATATGATTTTTTAAATGTTTGTTTTCAGGTTCCCTGGGAGAAAATGTGAATAGAAAAACTGTTAGATCTCAGGCTGTATTAAAGGTTCAAAGGAATTAAATCTTTGTAACAAACTCTGATTTTCTAATACCTATACTTTTCAACCTGATGGTGTAAACCTTTGATATTTCAAACTTAGATTCTTTCATCTAACAGAATTCATAGTTTGAAATATCTTATGTCTACGGCATTGGGTTGCAAAGATATAGGATAAGAAAATCATAGTTTGTGACAAAAACTCAATTCCTTTATTTACAAAATAATGCTTATCTTTAATTCACAGTAAATGACTATTCTGTTCGTTCTTCCTTTTGATTATACAATTCTGCAAATAATTAATAAGTGGTTGAGTATTTTTAGATAAATAAGTTACAAATTATGACGTTTAAGAAAAATGAGTTATTTAAATCATAAAATTTTTAGACTAAAAAGCTACAAATCACGACATTTCAGATAAATAAGTTACAAAATATGACATTTTAAGAAAAATGAGTTACAAATCATGACATTATAGATAAATAAGTTACACATCATGACATTTTAGATAAATAAATTACAAATAATGACATTTTCAGTGACATTTAGTTGTTAAAAGAAAAAGAAGACAGCAATCAAAGTGATAAAATTATTATTTTAGGAACGAGAAATGATTGAAGAAATGATCGACCAGGAAGTTTCGAATGTTATCACAAGGACAGGCAGTCCCTCAGGCAGATTTCAAATATCAAAATATTAGAATTGTTTAAAGAAAAGTATCGACCTAAAATTTCATAAAATACATGGTTATCAGTCAGTGTGGAAAAGCTGGGCCTAGTAGGTTTATTGCAAAACTGTCCATGAGCCCTAGGTAAAAAAGATTTGGCTCGAGTCTTTGTAATTCCTTAGACCCAGGATTGTGGCTAATTCTTATTCTATTCAAATCCCTCGATTTCGCCACCTCCGGCCAAGAAAATTCACCAAAATTTAAAAATTAAAACGTGCCTTAATTTTCCGAAATTTTTTTTCTGAGCTAGTAATTTTTGAATCGAGGGCTCTGAGCTAATAATTTTTGTATCGGATTCCATACTTAGATGGAGATATCGTCCCGTAATGCCGTAATTGAAGGATTTAAGATTTAAAGGTTTAAGACACCTTTAAAGGAATTGAGTTTTTGCCACAAACTCAAACTTTCTGATCCCTATATCCTTGCAACCAAATGGTGTAAACCTTTGTTATTTCAAACGTAGATTATTTGATCTAACAGAATTCCTAGTTTGAATTATTTTAAGTCCACGACATTGGGTTAAAAAGAGATAGTGATTAGAAAATCAGATTTTGTGGCAAAAACTCATTTCCTTTGTCGCTGAATTCTTAGATTTAGTCTTTAGGCGGATATCTTACACACAAATTCACAGTTCAGTTTAAACAGTTAATGATTTTCAATATACACAACCATAATGTTGCCGACCCCCCCCCCCCTCAAAATATACCCAAGTTGCGGCAAAGGTCAACATTTTTCTTCTGATATTTCAAGTCTGATTATATAGGAGTACGACCGGAACTTACATCTCAGTGTATTGATAAGATTCAGAGGTTGGAGGGGAAACTACACAAGATGAAGATATTAACAAAAGCATAAATGTTTATAAATATTAAAATTATAAAAGAACTGAGTCTTGCCACAAACTCTGATTTTCTATTCCCTCTTTGCAACCCAATTTTATATACAGCCTTTGATACTTCAAACAAAGAATTCTTATAGATTGAAATATCAAAGGTTTACACTGTCAAATTGTAAAGATATTGGGATTTGAAAATTATAGTTTGTGACAAAGACTATTTCCTCTATTCAAACTATATACATTTTGTACCGTTAAAAATGATAAATTCTCAACAGTTTTAAAATGTTGAGAAGGATAGTTGAATAGTGTAAAAATTGATAAAATCTCAAACCAAGGGATTATAGCACCTAGTAATGTGCCTTCAGTTGATTCTTTGTTGGCTCGTTTTTTACCTAAATTCTCTTTCTGGGTCTTTGACAAAGTGTAAGAAGGGATAAATTTTAGATTTTCTATTTGAAACATTTACTTTTCTTACACTGTGTCAAATGTTGACTCTGCCAGAAATTATTGTTTAAAAAAACGAACCAGAAACGAACGTACTGTAAAGATCGTTTTTGATTCGTTTTTCCATTTTTTCTCGGGGGGGGGGGGGATTGCATAGTTTAATAAAAACAAACTCTAACATAAAACATTTTTAAAAACTTAGAATTTCTCTCAAATTTAAAAAATATTAAAGGAATTAATATGATTTTCTGTGTAAAATGTTGTCAGAAGCGCCACAGATTTCTACAGTACACGACTTATTGCATTTACGATCTGAATTTTTGAGGAAAATGTGTGAATGACATTATATTCGTATTTAGATTAAAAGTTCACAAGGCTAAATATTGTAAACTTAAAAGTTCATTCTAAGTTAAGTACATATATATATATATATATATATATATATTATGTAAAATTATCGGCGATAAAATAAATGAGTTAAACATTTCACCTGTTTATCGTCTCAGCAGATTTTATCCTGGAATTTAGTTGCCATTTTGTATTAGTCTTTGCTCTCGGAAATGTCGTTAGAGTTTCCTTATTCACATATTTGTACCTTATATAATATAGCTTTTAGTGACAAAAAAGTTATGGCTATTTAATATTTTGTTCTTTACCTATACATTTCTTTTCATGAAAAGTCATAAGATTTTACGGTGATAGTGTCAAAAATAAGATTGCATAGGGCAAAAAAAAACTAGAGGGGGCGGGATTTCAAACGCCCCCCCCCCCCCGCAGCCTAGTTGTTTAGGGTTAAGGAGTTTGATTTTCAGGAGTTTGTCTTTCAGGAATCTGTACTTAAGGAGTTTGTCATTAAGAATTTTTTTTTTAAAGAGCTTGTACGTGCAGTTTTGTTTACTGTTGTCTTTGTATTTAATAAATCTGTATTTAAGAAGTTTGTACTTGCAGATTTACTAATTATTTGTTCACAGGATCAATATTCTTGGAAAAACTAGAAACTTCTAGAATATACAAGAGGGTATGTTTACACAATTTCTGGTAACAGTTAGCCGCTATAAAATAAATGATCAAAACAGGGACAACGTTCATTTCATTAGAATCACATCAAATATGATTTCTATAAAATTGGCGGCAATTTTACATCAGTATAAATACGGGAAAAGTAGAAAACATTTCAGTTTATTACAACCAGCCAACACATCATTATATTTTACAAAGAAAAAAATCATAATTTCCAAAATGATTTTACTTATCCTTGTCTTTATCTTCATAGCCCTGTGCATGATACTAAAGGATAAAAGTAGACTACCAAAAAACTTTCCTCCCGGACCCCCCTGTCTTCCTGTGATTGGCAATGTTCTTTCAGTGGGATATGATTTGAAATCAGCATTCAACACATGGAGGGAGAAATATGGATCAATTGTTGGATTTAAACTTGGAAACCAAACTTCAGTTGTTATCAGTGACTTTGATACTCTTAATGAGGTGTTTAAAGATGACAGATATTCTGGAAGACCTGAAAACCTTCAAGAAGTATTCTCCGCATTCTTTGGAAAAGGAAAGGAGAAATCTACAGGAGGAATAGTATTCAGCCATGGAGACCATTGGAAGGAACAGAGAAAGTTTGCCAGCAGAACTTTGAAAGATTTTGGAGTTGGTAAATCAGGACTTCAGACTTTGATCAATGATGAGGTAAAAAAACTTATTGATGAACTACAGAATGATACTGGAAAACCAATTGATCTGCGTCTGAGAACAAACCTTGCAATAGTCAACACTCTTTGGCAAGTTCTTAACGGAGAGAAATCTGATCTGAACAATCCTAAGATGAAGAGAGTTTTCAAATCTACAACTGAGTTTATTGTCTCTAACTCATTGTCTGGTCCAGTTATGATTATGCCCTGGTTGAGACATCTTCCATACTTTAACTCCAAGTTTGAGGAAGCCCGTAAGTCTCCACAAGAAATGAGAGAAATAACATCAGAGTCCATCCAAAGACACAAGGATTCCTACCAAGAGGAACATCAAAGAGATTTTATTGACTGCTACATCAAGAAAATGAATGAAACAGAAGAGTCAGGTTCATCATTTTATAATGAAACTGTAGAAGGAAACTTACAAAGAACATTAATGGATCTGTTTGGAGCTGGATCTGAAACCACTGCAACTATACTCTGCTTTGCATTTAATTACTTGATTAGGTTTCCATCTATTCAACAGAAAATCCAAGAGGAAATTGAATTGGTGATTGGAAGCAGAACTCCATTACTAGAAGATAGACAGGAAATGCCATACACAGATGCTTTTCTTCATGAGGTTCTCAGACACTCTTGTATTGTGTATACAACTCCACATGCTACCACTGAACAAGTTAATCTACATGGATACACTTTACCCAAGGGAACAGCTGTTTATGCCAATATTTGGTGGATAATGAATGATCCAGAGCACTGGGATAAACCAGAAGAGTTTAATCCTCTTAGGTTTATGGATGAAGCTGGAAAGTTTAAGAAGAATGATCGTTTTATTCCATTCTTAATCGGTAAAAGGTATTGTTTGGGACAAAACCTTGCTCAACATGAACTTTTCCTCTTTCTCACTGGATTATTACAGAAACTGAGTTTCTCTAGTATTTATGAAGACCCTGGAATGGTAAATATCAATCCTATTGTTGGATTTATGCATCAATGTCCTGAATTTCAAGTTGTTATGAAGGAACGGTTATAGTTTATAATAACCAGTTCTATATACTTATTGTACCTTTTTATTTCGCTGCCTGTTACCTGTTTATTTTATAAATTGTTGTTTTTATTGTTGTTATTGTAGTTTTATGTATGATTTATGTACATTGATCTTTAGATCAAAAATAAAATTTTACAATCCTATTCTATTTAATACCAAGTTATCTGTAAAGGAATAATTTAGTAGGAAAATCAGATAAAAACTAGCGAAGAAAAGTAAAATCGAAGTTTTAGAAATTATATAATGAGAATATATATAAAAAGAAATCATTATACAGTTAGCCACAAGAATCTGTAGATTATGAAGCCAAGCCTTTTTGACTTAAGCTATAAAGATTTTGAATTATCCAATAACATGAAATAATGCATTTGTGCAGTTAACACAAATTGGTTTTCAAAGAACTGGAAAAACTAGGGGCAACACATTACTTATAAGTTTGCTGAATTATTGTCTTCCTATTCTACAGTTTTCTGGACCCACTATACTTGAAAATAAAGAAAAGCAAGATGAAGAGAAACATAAAAGAATGCGGACAGGAAGAAATGATTCTAAGAATATCATAGGAACTTGAAACAATATCTATAGAGTAAATATTTTGATGGAAAATGAGAAAGTGAAAGAAAGAGACTGTCCCCGTAGTTTTAGTAAAGCATTGTATTGTCCGATCCTCAAAGATAACATTTAAACCTTTACCTTAACAACAATTAGTAAAATATTGTTATTTTTCTCTCTTAAAATTATCAAACTTTTCTTATAGATTTTTGCTACCAAATCTGCTCGTCACTTTCATAAAGAAACAACAAATAAGAGAAGCGAAAAACATAAAATTGTAAATTTCCATTTTGAAGGGATTTTTCACATAATTCAAAGTGTCTCTTTATCTGATCAAAGAATAGATTTTAGAGGTATACTTGTTTTCTATCTGAAAATTGGTAATTTTTTATTTTGGTTTCTCTGAAAAGGGACTTGTGGATGTATGCAATAGAGAATATTAAGAAGAAATAGATCGAGTTAATCAATTTTAAGAAAGGAAAATGATGATGTCTTCATTGTTTTACTCACACGAAGGTTATAAGGGTACAGTTGGGAATCAGGAATATACCTCTATGCCATAATGGTATTTGAAATTACGTTTTCAAGCATTTTGATAAAGTGAAGGAAATGATTGAAAGAAAAAGAGAAAAAAGAAGGATTTTAAATATACAAAGAGAAAAAGGAGGATTTTAAAGGGAGTGACCGGCTATGTAAGGTAGTTTAACTGAGTATGCCGTTTTGTGGAAAACTTCTTTCGGATTCATTTGAGACATATTCAACTTTATTAAGGTCTGTAAATCCTGAGTTTGAGCGCAAATTCGATGTTCAGAACTCCTACTTTGGGGGTGGAGACGTTTTCAGAATTACTTTTTTTTTAATTATTAAATAACGACGACATAAAATGTAAAAAAGTTCTACAATGTATAGGAACATGTTGAGAAAATAAAAATTAATCTTATTATCGAAAATAAGTAATCTTGTTCAATTATTAGTTTCTATTATCTCATTATTCTGGTTTCTCATTATTCACAAAGATTTTCGCAGATTTTCTAGAATTATTATTGAAAAGACGACATTGGAAGAATTTGAAGAAATCTACGAATAAATTCAGAGAAAATTAGAAATTCAATATAATAATGAAAACGAAATAATCGATTTTAGCATTGATTTATTGGCAAATTTCTTTTCATATGTTTCTAACCATTCAATTAGATTACTGTATAATTTTTACTTTACTTTTCGTTGTCGTTAGTTAATAATTTTAAAAAAATAATTCTGGAAACGTCTCCACCCCCAAAGTAGGAGTTTTGAACATCGAATTTCCGCTCAAACTCAGGATTTACAGATCTTTAAAAAGTTTAATATGTCTCAAATGAATCCGAAAGAAGTTGTACACAACACTGTATACTCAGTTCTACTACCTTACATAGCCGGTCATTCCCTTTAAATAAAAGAAAAAGAAAAAGAAGCAAATTAAAAAAAAAGAGAAAAAGGAGGAAATCAAATAAAAAAAAGAGAAAAAGGAGGAAATCAAATAAAAAAAGAGAAAAAGGAGGAAATTAAATAAAAAAAGGAGGAAATTAAATCGCAAAGAGAAAAATGAGGAAATTAAAAAATAGAAAAAGGAGGAAATTAAATAAAAAAAGAGAAAAGGAGGAAATCAAATAAAAAAATGGAAAGCCAGATACAGATAAGAAATGGTAAATCAAGTAAAAAATATAAAACAAAAGTAATTTTCTCGGTAAAATAAAAGTATTTGACAAAAGTAACATTTTTAAGCCTGAAGATAACTTTCAGTCAAAAGATTGTTAAGGGCTAATATTAGATTATGTGTATTAAAGAGATTGTAGACCTAATTTCATGAAACCCTCGAATGACAAAGTGGCGTATGTCCATTTTACGATTGTACACTTTACGCCATTGTATGATCAAGTTTAAATGAGATAAACTAATTTTTCTAGCTGAAAATTCTTTATTTCCGTTATGTTGTTTCTTGGAAAATAGCTTAGTGTTCCTCTCTTTCTTAGATTCTTCCTTTATATTCAAGTTAATAATAATCACTTTATGAAAAAGGGATTTTAGAAAAAAAATAATTTCTTTTTTACGCATTTCTATTAACATTCCAATTTCTTTTTTACGCATTTAAAAAAAATTTCTTTCCTTCTTCAATTCAGATTCTCCCCTTGCATTGCATTTTCTCCATCTTTTATCCATCTACATACTTTTTTTACATTAAACTTACATTCTTTATCATTTACTGTGTTCATTTCAAAAAGATAAAAATTACGTAAAGGAAAAAAGTCTTTGCCACAAACTCTAATATTTTAATCCCTATATCTTTGAAACCCATTGCCGTAGACCTTAGACATTAAACACTTTGAATTATGTTAGATCAAATATTCTTTGTTTGAAATATCAAAGGTTTACATCATCAGGTTAGAAAGATTCCTCCATTTTAACATTCAAATTTGTCTTTTCTTTATCTTAATTCTTTTCTTTTATCTTTTACTTTTTCGATTTCAATTCTGGTGTCCTTTCTTCAACTCATTTTTCTTTTATTCCGTCAGACTTTTTTATTTCCATTTCAAAATTTGCTGCTTCTCTTACTTATTAGAGTTATAAAATTCAGGATTGTAAAACTTTATTTTTGATCTAAAGATCAATGTACATAAATCATACATAAAACTACAATAACAACAATAAAAACAACAATTTATAAAATAAACAGGTAACAGGCAGCGAAATAAAAAGGTACAATAAGTATATAGAACTGGTTATTATAAACTATAACCGTTCCTTCATAACAACTTGAAATTCAGGACATTGATGCATAAATCCAACAATAGGATTGATATTTACCATTCCAGGGTCTTCATAAATACTAGAGAAACTCAGTTTCTGTAATAATCCAGTGAGAAAGAGGAAAAGTTCATGTTGAGCAAGGTTTTGTCCCAAACAATACCTTTTACCGATTAAGAATGGAATAAAACGATCATTCTTCTTAAACTTTCCAGCTTCATCCATAAACCTAAGAGGATTAAACTCTTCTGGTTTATCCCAGTGCTCTGGATCATTCATTATCCACCAAATATTGGCATAAACAGCTGTTCCCTTGGGTAAAGTGTATCCATGTAGATTAACTTGTTCAGTGGTAGCATGTGGAGTTGTATACACAATACAAGAGTGTCTGAGAACCTCATGAAGAAAAGCATCTGTGTATGGCATTTCCTGTCTATCTTCTAGTAATGGAGTTCTGCTTCCAATCACCAATTCAATTTCCTCTTGGATTTTCTGTTGAATAGATGGAAACCTAATCAAGTAATTAAATGCAAAGCAGAGTATAGTTGCAGTGGTTTCAGATCCAGCTCCAAACAGATCCATTAATGTTCTTTGTAAGTTTCCTTCTCCAGTTTCATTATAAAATGATGAACCTGACTCTTCTGTTTCATTCATTTTCTTGATGTAGCAGTCAATAAAATCTCTTTGATGTTCCTCTTGGTAGGAATCCTTGTGTCTTTGGATGGACTCTGATGTTATTTCTCTCATTTCTTGTGGAGACTTACGGGCTTCCTCAAACTTGGAGTTAAAGTATGGAAGATGTCTCAACCAGGGCATAATCATAACTGGACCAGACAATGAGTTAGAGACAATAAACTCAGTTGTAGATTTGAAAACTCTCTTCATCTTAGGATTGTTCAGATCAGATTTCTCTCCGTTAAGAACTTGCCAAAGAGTGTTGACTATTGCAAGGTTTGTTCTCAGACGCAGATCAATTGGTTTTCCAGTATCATTCTGTAGTTCATCAATAAGTTTTTTTACCTCATCATTGATCAAAGTCTGAAGTCCTGATTTACCAACTCCAAAATCTTTCAAAGTTCTGCTGGCAAACTTTCTCTGTTCCTTCCAATGGTCTCCATGGCTGAATACTATTCCTCCTGTAGATTTCTCCTTTCCTTTTCCAAAGAATGCGGAGAATACTTCTTGAAGGTTTTCAGGTCTTCCAGAATATCTGTCATCTTTAAACACCTCATTAAGAGTATCAAAGTCACTGATAACAACTGAAGTTTGGTTTCCAAGTTTAAATCCAACAATTGATCCATATTTCTCCCTCCATGTGTTGAATGCTGATTTCAAATCATATCCCACTGAAAGAACATTGCCAATCACAGGAAGACAGGGGGGTCCGGGAGGAAAGTTTTTTGGTAGTCTACTTTTATCCTTTAGTATCATGCACAGGGCTATGAAGATAAAGACAAGGATAAGTAAAATCATGTTTATATATTAATAAACTTTAAGTTTGCTTTAGGATTGTTTTTGTTTTAGATTATGTTGCTTAACTGATCATACTAGAACTTACACTTCGTTTTATACAAATTAAAATCCGTTCTTGGAAATGCTGCGTCTATGTTGGCTAAGTACAACGTGCAGACTCATATTTGATCGAATTCTAAAGAAATGGACTTTGGTCCGTTAATCTGATTTTCCCTTAAGCGTACTCCAAACCCCATGTACTTTAGATCATATTATATTTTTATACATATATAAATTTTTCGCGTGTTTAGCTTTAGTTTTTCATAGGGTTTAAGGGCTAGAAAAATCATCAAAAGG